GTAGCCGGGGTGGCAGGCAGGAGCCAGTCTGGGCAGGGTTTTTAAAACAGCTCCCCTCGTGGACCAGCTCCTGCCTGCCACCCCACACTGCTGTCTCTGATTGAGAGTTAGCAGCGTGGGGCAGGGAGCTCCCTGGGAGTGGAGTCCACCTTCGGGGACTATTGAATAGTCACATAACCACTAAAATCTGATGCAGTTACACACTATCTAACATCCCTGATACATTGTGCACCCTACAGCTAGGGCATGGGTTAGTAAGAGTAATTTTTGCTAACAAAATTCCCAAGAGTCATATTTTTCTGTTAACTTTTTGCAATACCTATTGGTACATCTTTTCCTGTAATCTTAGGCATTGGGTTATTCTTTGGTCACTTAGTTATATCAGCAATTCTTAATTCTATGGCTTCGAATGGCTAAGCTAATGCCTTACAGGCCTTAGCTCGTAGGCCTTGCATTTCAGCCCTACTTACTTAGGTACTTAATACATGATTACTGTATTCCTTCTGCATATTGATCACTCCTATACTTGTGTAATTCTACCACTTAACTCTCTTTAGTTTACAGTGGTTATATAGGACCGTGTTAATCCTATCAGTAAATAAACTCATTGACAATGTTTACTACACAGGCGACAGAATTTAGAAGACTGCTAAATAAGCAAGTGCAATTCCATTGCCTTCAGAACTCTCACAGTTGTGATCAGTTACTGAGCAGATCTCATCCAGATCTCTGGCCCGACAGGACGCATGCTTAGATCCCACACAACTTCAATGTGAGGGTTTCCTTTCCCAGGTACAAGAGGAAGCTCTATTTCCATTGTAATTTACGCCCCGGTCTTTAGTAAACAATACATTAACATGCTTAAATCTTGGCCCAGCACCACACATTCATCTTGGTTCCTGAGGAACCTGAAGGCCATTTTCCGCAGTGAGAAAGATCACTGATGAGTTAAAATGAGGCCATCAAACTGGCCAGTGGAAGGCCAACAATTCACAGCATCCTCTGTCTCCCTTTAACTATTCCAGTAAACTGTGACAATTCAAGAAAGAAATGGAGATTAAATGACCAATGGGAAACAACTCCTCTCCCTCCAAAAGACACACATTTTTTACCACGTTAGCACTGTTTTATGTATTAAAACTAGAAAAATGTGTTTTAAACACTCTAACCTTGTCATCTCCATTTGGTTTTTTTCCTCTTTAAACTTCACTTACCTTAATGAAGCTAGACTGGTTAGTTACACTTTCTGTACCTTCTCTGCTGAAGGTGACCATTATTTTAAGGGCTGGGATGCTTGTGATAGGGTTTGCAGAAGTGTTTCATGTGAAAAACGTGCACGTTTAAAAATGTGTCTGGCATTGTTGCTGCCAGCCTCTGCCTCTATGATGTGCATACTGCTCGGAGGGGAGGATTTTTCCACTAACTTTGTGTCAGAACGGGTTTGTCGTGAAGAACAAGTATAATTAACATTCTCTGTTGAGATGTGTCGAAGCTGTTCTTTTGCTCAAGCACTTTGCCAGGGACAGACAATCCTTGTGGAAACAGAGCACGCTCTGCTCCATAGTCTTGTGTCTTTAACGTTTTGTTGTTCTAATTTAACCAAATACACGAGTGAGTCAATAAAAACTGGGACATTACAGGTGTCCTGAATTAAGTTCCTGTGATACTGTGGTGGTATCTAAAAAATATTTGAGCTAGTGTTAGTAAAACTGGAACTCAGTCACCTTTAGGCTGCAGGGGTACAGATGCAATGGTGCACAAAGGCAGGACATGGTTGCTCACTCTCCTCACAGAATGCACTGTCTGTCCATATTGCTCAGCTATGGAGCTCATCTGCCCAGAGGGTACCAGAGGCCCATGAGCAGGGGCGATACAGCCAGACCTAGTCACCAAAATGAAGACGACCAAAGCCAAACGGCATGCAGCTGTGCTGACTGCAAAGCCCATGTTCAGGAAGCTGACAGGCTGTGGGGAAATGCATGTTGGTGATTCCCTGTGAAGAGCCCAGCTCCGCTGAAACTGCTTGGCAGGCAGCATTTGCATGAGAATGGATGTACCAGCCGTGACTGCGACATAAGAACTGAGAAAGCCTCATAGTGTAAGTCAGAATGATTAAAAAGAGTGAACTGTCAAATGCGCAGGTACTTGGGTGCTGCTAGTTGAAGCCATCTGGTCTGAAATCAGAGGTGAAAGCAAGCGGGTGCTCCAGCAAGAGCTGGCTAAGCTACAGCAAAAGCCAGCAGGCAGCTATTCAAAGAGCTGCAGGGACCTGAGCTGCAATAGGACAGGACCTGTAAAAATGTTAACACCCTGGCTGCAATACTTAAACCTGGAGGTAGAAACTGTCCCTACTGTGGGGCAGGGTTGCTCTCTACTCTCTCTGCAGTTTCCTCTTGCCAGACAGCTAGAGGCGTAAAGTCTGAATTTGGTAACGCCGCCAAGGTGAAGGAGCCTGTGGCATTGGGCACACAACAGATCCACGTTTGAAGAGTAACACTGTTTTATGAACTCATGCTAAATGTGTTACCTGAGTTTCTTGATTCTGGCCTGTGCATAATTTTTCTGAGATTTTGTTCCTACCTCAGAACGACGTTTTCGTCTGTCAAGGAGGAGATGTTGAGTTGGTGTTTTAATTCAACAGCCGAGATTTTCTCTTGAATGCTTTTCTCCATCGCCAGCAGGTTGCTTTTCTGGGGATAGGAAGCACCAGGGAGGTAGTTATTCCCTGGCTGCACCTAGACAGGATCTGACATTTTACACGATGGCAGGACGCAAGACAGGGATGACTGAAACCACAGAAATCAGTCTGGACCAGTCTAAGCAGCCACAGATGTGTGCCCCTCACCTCCTCCAGACCAAGTGTTCTGCACTAGGAGCAGCCAAGCTGACATGCCAGCACAGTCGATGACACTTGCTTTTAATTTCCCATTTGCTTCCACAGTAGGGATGTAAATTAGACACTTCGAAATTGCAAATAAAGCTGGTATTTAAATTTCCCATGCTTCATTGGCATAATGGCAGCCGTGGGGGGGGAGGTTTCGAAAAGAGGCCTCATTTTTTCAGGAGTACAGGATCTTTCAAAAAAGGGTATTATTTTTGAACAATCCCCATCTAAACAGCCATTTTTCTTTCGAAAAGCCCCTTTTTGAAAAAGAAAAATGTGGCTGCCATTATGCAAATGAAGCACAAGAAATTTGAATCCTGGCTTCATTTGCCATTTCAGAGTGTCTAATTTTCACCCCTTTTTGGAGAAAAGGGATATAGTTTAGACACAGCCCTAGAAACTTTGTGACAACTGTGGACTTGATAGAATTCCGTTCCTCTTGCACCAAAAGCATTGGCCTCTATCGTGTGGGCTAAAGGGGTAAGTCGTCCGCCAGCCTACAGCAGAGTCATTTGTTGCAATTTCACACAGATTCTGTTCTGTGCACTGAGCGCACAATCCACCACCACTAAAAGTCTGAGTCCAGCAGCAATGTCAAAGAAATTCACGGTTACAGTACTCCAGAAAATTGCTTTAGAAGTGCAAACTCAGCCCACCTTTTCAGACATGGCCATTAATTCTGGATGTCTCAATTTGTGAGAGCAGAGCATGAGATTCTAGAAGTTCCTCCCAACTCATCCCCCTCCCCACTTGTCAGCACAGGGGAAATCTTGCCTGCATGGCCTCAGGGAATTCCCAACTAACGTCAGAAAGGATTCCCTCAGAACAGAGAAACCGCAAGGCCTTATGTTCTCCTGCAACATCCTGACGACACTAACTCCCAAACAGGTTCTCCTCCTCTAACATTTCCCGCTGGATTCCCTATTCCCTAGGCTCATAATTCTCAACTCTCCCCAGCGATCCTATCAAAAGTAAGTCACAAAACCATCCTGTGCCTAATAATATCCCCCTTAACTCCTTCCCCCTGCCACTTGCATCCCCTTCTCCAGACCCCCAACACCACTCTCCTCAGGGCCTATTAAGAACAAAGGAAATTAGCTGACAGTGGGGATTGGATGGGAACCGTTGAAGTATACAAGTGCTTGCCCAAAGCGATGGCTCATGACACACCTCAATAACTTCCCCCCATTCACTGTAAGGTGTGGAACTTTGCACCAAAGGTTAACTGCAATTCTAACCCCAACAGTAGCACTTCATTTATGAGCGCACAGCCCATCTGCTGGAGTATGCTGTTTGTGCAAAGGCTAAACAGCCTTACATTTGCACCTGCTCAGATAAACCAATATTGAGCGACCCCCATGATCCAGGTTCAAGAAAGTGCTTCTAGCTCTGCCCTGAGAAGTGATTAGAGATGTGGGAATCGGGGCCTTTGTTTACAGTAATTCCCAGACCAAAGGCAAAATATGGCCGGTAACATTGTCAAAAGAAAGGAGCCTACATCTCCTTTTCAAAAGTGACAGGTACTAAGGAGCCCCAGTCTCATAAGCTCAGCAGTGCGGAGGCTCCTTAGTACCGAAGTTGGTTTGGAAAACAGACCCCATTTTTTTCTTTAACTGCTAGCCCTGCAAACACACCTTTAGTCCAAAGAGATTTGTTTCATGCTACCTCCAGGCCTTTGTGACACCTAAGCAAAGTGATGGCCGTCGGTTTATGCTCTCAGTGACCTCTCGCTAACCCTACTGCAGTCAAGTGGATTGCACAGCTGGCCTGGCGTTAAACCCAGCACTCTCCTCATAGCCACTTGGGTTCTGCTGTATTAACAGGCTGAAAAAGCAGCAACCCTGATTACCAAACGCAGGAGGTTTGACTAAGCAGCAGGGAGCAGATTTGCTAAGGAAAAAAGCATCATCTTTACATGGCTTCGCTTCAAAGCGAAACTTCAGTCTGAGGGCCGCATTTAAATGCATAAAAGCCAAGGAGTTTGGGGTGAGCCTGAAAGCCTGTTTCGTCACCCCACCCTTTCTACGCCAATATTTCAGATGTTTGCCAAGCTCATCTGATCTTTAGCTATTGTCTATGCTACAGCTGTGAGCCATGTGGTTCTATCGTCCCTTGGATTGTCCTGGCATTCAGGTCAGAGCTATATGAGGCTTTCAGTGGGCTCTCTAAGTATAGAATCATCCTGTTCTACAGGAGAGCAAGATGCTCTAGTTACAGTGCTGCCCAGCAGACCACAGATTCAGAAAATCCATAGCATTGCCCACTCTAGCACGTGGCCCTCCTAAGCCTCAGCCATCTGCTACTGACAGCTTTTAATTCCTCCAGAAGCCAACAGTCCCATCCCAGGGTGGACTGACTGCATTCCAAGGACAAACAGAGAACACAGCCAGCCCTCCATTCCCATCTAGCCACAACAGTGCAGGCATATGCCCAGCTCCCCTGCACCTCTAACAGGATGGCTCGGGATACTGGCATCGTTCAGCAGATGGGACTGTGCAGGTGAGCATGAGATGAGCTGCCAATGCTCAGCCACCACGGCACAGCCCGCCTTAGAAGAAAGATCTTTCGTGCTACTTGTCAACGGTGTTTGGAAGCCCGAGAACAGCAGCCAAGCTTCCCGCGTGCCATACAGAAGGGACCCCGCTGCCCAGGACAGCCCAGAGGAATGAGCCTAAGCCCGGTTTTAGCACCACACACACCTCTTTCTTGAGTTCCACCTGGGCGTTCTGCATGGTCGCGGTGAGAGCCGTGAGAATTTGGTCCTTCTCCTTCACCTCGACAGTCAGAGACTTGGAGAAAACAGACACATTCACATGGATAAAACAGGCTCCTCTTTCTAGTCCAACGTGCTGTGCATCTCCCCCACCCCCAGCCTCACCAGCCCTCTCCAATACCCATGTCAATGTCTACAGGGGGCCAGGCTTGGCCTGAGCAGAAGCCCCGACGTACCATCGCCTTGATCGTCATGATGCTCTTACAGCCAGAGTGGGGAACCTATGATCCACGGGCTTACCTTGATCCAGCCCTCAGCAAGACTCAGGGCCGGAGCATGAGCGTCGGCTCACCCAGCTGCCGGGAGAAGTCCTGACCCTCGGCGCACAACATCCCCTTTCCCCCTCCCCTGTGGGGCTGGAGTGCGAGGGGAGCCCTGGTGCCCTGAGGTGTGTGAGTGGGGCCAGGTCAATGAGACTATTTTGCATTTGTTTGGGGGATTTTTTTGTCTTGTTCTCAGTCAGTGGTTTTTGTGGTTGTTTTTTTGTTTTTTGCTTCTCACGTGTGTGTGGCTCCTGACTAATTTTTCTGTGGGTCAGTGGCCCCCCAGCCGAGAAAAGGTAACCGCCCCCTGGCTTACTGGCTGGATTTGTAAAGTCCAATCAGCTACCCAGGCTGGCCTTGCGTTTCATTGGGCGAGACGAGAGTGATGCCTAAACTCGCCAGCACATGGACTTGATTTACGAAAACATGAGGGCCAAGAACTCAGATTAAAGCTTCGTTTCCTGAGCAGCTCCTGCTCCTGTTGCCAAACAAGGCACAGAAGGGGAGCGGCTCCATTTGCACAGCACCCTCCCAACTCTTGAATGCCTCAGGTAAGGGCCATTGAGCTGCTTAGCAGACCGTGAACTGCTCACACCCCGCCCCTACCCAGACACTCCAGTTGCACTGCACTATCCCCTCCCCCTATACTTGCCTCCTTGATGCTTTGCAGCTCTTGAATTTTCTTCTCATCTGCCTGGTGCTGTTTAATATAATCCTAAAAAGGGGACACAGCACATGCACCGTTCAAGTCATGTCGTGGGCTTGCCAGCGAACAGCCGACTCCAACACACCCACCCAATCTGAACGCACGACCAGCCAGACAAGGGCGAGGCAGAACTACAAGTGCATGGAGAGTCGTAAGGTGTCTGACACGTCCCACACCCCTGGGGAATTATCCTGCTATTATGGTCCAAATCCAGTCTGCTCCCATCTCACCCTGTTGCTCAGGGCCCTCAGCCCCTTGCCATGCCAGCAGTCTCCAGCGTGGGACAGTACGGCCTCATGCACGCTCAGGAAGGGATCACATGCAGTCGCCCCAGCTGATACATCATAGGTGCTGCAAGCAAGGATGCGGGGGAGGGGGGGAGGAGGTGCAGCATCCCCTGGTTTAAAGTGGTTTCCATTACAGACCAGGTTTACAGTTCAGTTCAATGGCTCTCAGCCCCCCGGATCACGTTGAGGGGAGCTGCCAGCCTATAACTGCACCCTCTGGGGATGACCAGCTCTTCAAGGGCCTGCAGCTGCAAAGGCCTTCTCCCTTGTCTATGCTGGTACATCACTTCTAGCCCCTTGGACTGTGGGTGCAGAAAACATGATTGCTGAAAACACAGTGGGTGCTGTGCACTTTGGAAGGTAGTAATTATCTCCATTTTATAGATGGGCAAACTGAGGCAGAGAGGGTCTGTGTGAGAATGTCCCAAATTTTTCTTCTCCAGCATCTAACTTACAACTCTATTAAGTAGGGAGGGGGACACCTTTACCACAACAAATTCGAGGCTAGTCCATCTTGTATGCAATTGTCACCACTATAGCAGCATATGCCAGGGCAGCAATTACCCTGGTACTGCTTCTGAGACAAGCCCAAATGAACCAAACCACTGGGCTTCTCAGTTTTGATGGGAAGCCCTAAGAAATTGGGGGCGAAGAGATTCTGGTGATTTCCTGCATGCTACCCCTGGCAGGCAACAATGCCTTGCTACATGCAGCATTTGGGTCTGAAAGCCTTTGAGCAATAGGAGCCTTATAAATGAACGCAGGGATTTATAAGAACCCTGCTCCTATTGTAGGGGCAATAGAAGTTCATGGGAACTGCTGCACCTCAGTTTATGGCTTTACACTCCCCCCAGAAGAAGCTACCTCTATATCTTTATTCATCATGGTGTCACCACTCCGAAGCGACTTCCTCAGCTGCTCTTTCTCCAGCTCAAATTTCTTCATCAATTCCTGCTCTGTGGAGAGTGCGAGAAAGAGGTCAGAAGGGCTTTTCCTGACCATCATCATTGACCCGTTCCAACTGCATTCAGTATTTCTACAGCCCTAACACACTGCTACCTGCCAACAATGCATGACAGCACTGAGCATGCCCCAAAGAACGTTCTCACACTCTCCATCCATGCCTGGATGCTGAGTGTGGGTACATACATCCACCCGCACACTGGGTCATGTCTCCAGTCATCCCCTGCCTCCCCTCTCGCTATTGCTCTTCTTTGCGCGGTCACTTGGAAGCTGCCTTTGGTGTTACTTTGCAAAGTACGGCCATGGCCCAATGTCTTTACCCAGGGGCACGCTCCCTATGGAATAGGCTAGCGGGGCACAGCTAAGCACATTGCTGACGGGACAATCTGGAGGAAGTGGCTCTTCCAAGCTAAGCCCTTGTTTATCAAAAGGTTCTTTTGTTGCCCAGAAAGCATAATGTTTGGTCTTAGCCCCAAAGTGATTTTTTGTAACTAGTGGTGGGTTCAGTGGCCTCAGATATACAAAATCTTCAGGAAACCCATTGCTATCACAGATCAATAACTAGAGCAGTAGGTATTCCTGGGGTCTTCTCCAGCCACTGCATCCTGGAGAACAACCAGTTACTCTATTGTAGCCAAAGCTAAAGGAGTCGGTAAAACTGACTGTCATAAGCTAGGGAAAGTATTCACACCCCAGCAGCCAAGACAGGTTTCAAACAATGAAACGACTCAGACAAGTGTGATGCCTAAAACTCATTCCAACTCACTGATTTTAATACACTACATTCCCCGCTGAGGCGTCCCTCTGGACAGAGTCCACGGCCACCGCTCAGGAGATCTTCATCTGGCGGGAGTGGGCACAGACCCCTTTTTGAGCTACCCCACGTGAGCAGCTGTGGCTCTGTCCAGCCTCCCAGGCCAACGCACGTGTCCCCTGGTCCACTCACTTTGCTGTAATAGTGCCTTCTCCCGCTCGGTCCTCTCGCTCTTCTTCCAGTCCACCTGCCTTCTCAGCCACTTCTCCTCCATCTCATCAGAAACACTGTCCTACCCACACAGACAAGGCACGTTTTCAGTCCATCTTCCAAAACTCAGAGGGCTCCTACATTGAGCCCAGTGAGGCTATAAAAAGCTAGTTAGCAATTAGCTAGCCATTTCCACCTACAGGTCCTGAGGCGCTTCCCCAGGGACCTCTCAGCAAGAAGCAGAAGGAAGAAGGGAGGAGCGACCCTTGTGTGGCCTCTGGACATCACTATTCTTCCATAGGGGTGAGAGAGGCACCTATGTAGTGGGAGATCTGCCGGGGGGCATCCATTGTGCCTGCTCCCACTAGCACTCGCTGAAGTTATGCACTGTGTGTGTGTCCCCTGATTCCTGGTATCCTGCCCTCCTTGCCCACAGTGGAACTGCTTGCGAACAGGTGAGTGCTAACAGGGAGCTTAGAGAGGGAGTTGGGAGGGGGAGAGGGAAGGGCGGGAGGGTCTCTGGCCTTTCTTTTAAATCCCTTCTCCAGGACAGCAGCGATGGATGGTGATGGGTCTGCTGTTGTTACCTGCACAGCGTGTGCCATGTTTGTCTTCCTCCCAGAAGACAGAACAGATTTCATCTGCACGAAGTGCAAGCTGGTCGACATTTTGGAAGACAAAATTAGAGGACTGGAGGCCCAAGTGTCGACCCTACGCTCGATCAGAGAGGATGAAGACTTCCTCGATAGAAGGCAGCATTTAATCCTTCAAGCACGGAAGGCAGAGGAACCAGACAGGGCAGTACGTGACCAAGAAGAGAACTGGCAGCATGTAACTTCTAGAAGGGGAAAAAGGCCAGCATGGGAATCCCCCAATGCTATAGAGGTAAGTAATCGCTTTCAAGCTCTCTCCACAGGCTCTGCAGAGGTGAATTCTTTGGAAGGGACCTCACAAGGAAGAAACCAAAAGCGAACACCATCTACTGAAGGCATGGGATGCGCAGTCCTAGGGATGGGGGTTCCACGGCCATCACCCTCAAAAGAAAACGACGGGTGGTGGTGCTCGGGGACTCCCTCCTAAGAGGGACTGAACCATCCCTCTGCCATCCGGACCTGGAATCTCGAGAGGTGTGCTGCTTACCAGGAGCTCGCATTCAGGATGTCACTGAGAGGCTTACCAAGCTGATCAAACCTTCCGATCGCTACCCCTTCCTGCTTCTCCTCCATCCTCCCTGTTGAAGGGAAAGGACTGGGCAGGGATCGTCGAATTGAGGACGTAAATGAGTGGTTGTGCAGGTGGTGTCGCAGAGAGGGCTTTGGTTTCTTCGACCATGGGACTCTGTTCCGGGCACAAGGATTGTTAGGAAGAGATGGGATCCACCTAACGAAGAGAGGAAGGAGCATCTTCGCGGGCAGGCTTGAAAACCTAGTGAGAAGGGCTTTAAACTAGGTTCATTGGGGGACGGTGACCAAAACCCTGAGATGAGAGGGAAAGTCGGGTACCGGGAAGAAATGCAGAGAGGAAGGAGCAAGAAAGGAGGACCCCTCTCTCGAATGGAGAAGATAGGGCAATCAACTGGTTACCTGAAGTGTTTGTACACTAATGTGAGAAGCCTGGGCAACAAACAGGAAGAACTGGAGGCCCTGGCTCAGTCCAAGAAATATGACTTAATTGGGATAACAGAGATTTGGTGGGATGACTCGCATGACTGGAGCGCTGCCATGGAAGGGTATAGATTGTTCAGGAAGAATAGGCAGGGGAGAAAAGGAGGAGGAGTTGCACTATATGTAAGAGAGCACTATGATTGCTCTGAACTCCAGTATAAAGAGGGAGAAAAACTGGTTGAAAGTCTATGGGTCAGGTTTAAAGGAGCAAACAGCAGTGATGTTGTGGTTGGTGTCTGCTACAGGCCACCGAACCAGGTGGATGAGGTAGATGAGGCTTTCTTCGAACAACTGAGCGAAGCTTCCAGATCGCAGGCCCTGGTTCTCATGGGGGACTTTAATCACCCTGACATCTGTTGGGAAACCAATACGGCAGTACACAGGCAATCCAGGAAGTTTTTGGAGAATGTTGGGGATAACTTCTTGGTACAAGTGCTGAAGGATCCGACCAGGGGCCGTGCACAGCTTGACCTTCTCCTCACAAACAGGGAGGAACTAATAGGGGACGTAGAGGTGGGTGACAACCTGGGAAGCAGTGATCATGAGATGGTAGATTTCAGGATCCTGACCAAAGGAAGGAAAGAGAGTAGTAAAATACACACCTTGGACTTCAAAAAAGCAGATTTTGACTCCCTCAGAGATCTGATGGAAAGAATCCCCTGGGATGTTAACATGAAGGGGAAAGGAGTCCAGGACAGCTGGCAGTATTTTAAAGAAGCCTTATTGAAGGCACAGAAAGAAACCATCCCGACACGTAGCAAGAGAGGCAAACCTGGTAGGAGACCGGATTGGCTTACAGGGGAAATCCTTGGTGTACTTAAGCACAAAAAGGAAGCTTACGGAAACTTGGACAAATGACTAGGGAGAGGTTAAAATGTATAGCTCGAGAATGCCGGGGGGTTATCAGGAAGGCGAAAGCGCAAATGGAATTGCGACTGGCTAAGGATGTGAAGGATAACAAGAAAGGTTTCTACAGGCATGTTAACAAGAAGAAGGTGATCAGAGAGGGTATGTGGTCCCTGCTAGATGAGGAGGTAACCTAGTGACAGATGATGTGGGGAAAGCTGAAGTACTCAATGCTTTCTTTGCCTCTGTATTCACGGACAAGCTCGGCTCCTGGACTTCTGCGCTAAGTGACGCAAGATGGGATGGAGATGGACAGCCCGTGGTGGGTAAAGAACAGGTTAGGAACTATTTAGAAAACTAAACGTACATAAATCCATGGGTCATGATTTAGTGCATCCGAGAGTACTGAGGGAGTTGGCAAATGTCATTGAGGAGCCTTTGGCTATTATCTTTGAAAAGTCGTGGAGATCGGGAGAAATCCCGGATGATTGGAAAAAGGCAAATGTAGTGCCCATCCTCAAAAAAGGGAAGAAGGATGATCCAGGGAACTATAGGC